ATCAAAACTAAAAAAAAAAAAATCTATGAACAATCAAATTGTAAGTGAATTTAGCATGAAATTTTTAATTTATAAACTTGACCAATTCTCCATAATGTAGAAGAAGCTAATAAATAGAATCCCACAAAGTCCTCTAACAAAGTAAAGAATAATTAAATATCTTTCCTACCTACCAAATAAAAGACTAGAATAATTAAATAACATTACTAACAAATCAAGGAATAAAATACTAACAATAAATAAAAAGAATAAATAATTAAATTATAGATCTCAAATATCATGTTTGCCCTCATCTCCATCAAATACTTTTATGGACCACTTGAAATGATGATAAGATATAAGCATGACAAGATTACGCTCGTGATTTTACTTAGAAACTCAATTATTATTTTAATAAAATATGTTATTTGATGTGTCGGCGGCCTAGGTCTAGGTCGAACCGGCTGAGAAAGAGCTTCGACCCTCCTAAGCTCGCCTTCGTTTCTCCTACAATTTTGCCAAATAAACTCATGCCACACTCTTGCTCGCTATATTTGATATCCTCCGATTCGATTTCAATCTTTGTAATTTCCTTCTCTGATAATGAGAACCTCTTCAATCATTGTTCCACTTCTTCCTTAATTCCTTTTGATCTAGTAGCTCAAATCTATGTTGGCCATCCTGAGCTGCAAGCACAACCCTAACAAACCCAATATAAGAAGACCTCGAGAGCTAAAGCTCACCTCCAAGATAGAACTGAAGCCCTAACATCGAGGTAACGGTGACTAAGACGGAATACCCTCACTCGACGGAATCAAACTCTCCGGCAACACAATTGTTACTCAATAAAGGTTAAATCAAGCCCAAGCTGGAGGAGAATGAATGATGCATTATTTCTTTCATAGGTAAAGATAAAGAAACTGTGTACAGATTCCATATCGTCATCACTAGGAAAACAAATAACAGAGTACTATCATCACCAGAAAAACAAATGATGAGTAAATTGCATGCAAGTCTGCTACTAATGAATTTATTAACAGGCTCAGCAAGAGACCTAATTTTTTTAATCAAAAACAACAAAGTGAACCGGCCGTTCAATAAAAATATAAATAAACAGCTTCTATACTAACATCCACCAGGCCCAACAAACAATAGAGTTTTGAAACTAATGAAATATTAAGAGAAAATTACCCCACATACGAGGTAAAACAATATATATTACACTTTAATGGTCCATCCAAATTATTTAGCACATTTACCAAAATTTCAGATTTTATTTGCACTAATGCGAGAAGTAGGTGAGAAAAAATATTGTTTTAATTATAGATAGTGTGGATTTAATGTGATTTATTATCAAGTAAGAAACCGACTCTCGTTTTTCACGCCCACTATCACTTTCTCTCCTTATGTTTATCTTCCTTATTCGTTTTTCTTCTAAAAAATCCATCCTTATTTTTGCGAGAAATTTTGGTGGGACAGTGAGGACAGAGCTGGTGGGCCAAGGTCGATTTTGGGCTGCTGGGCACCTCCAATGCGGGAGCACTCCTAGGGTTGTAAGCAGTGGAGTTTCGGCGAGGTTCGAGTAAGAGAGAGAGGGGTACGGTGAGATTAGAGGAAGATGGTGGAGGGAGGCGGAGGAAGAGGAGAGAGAGGGCTAGGGTGCGGAGAAAGAGAGGACAAGTGGTGGTGGGATATGAGGCAGAGATGATGGGATGAGGAATTGTAGAGACGGTGAAAGCGACAGCGGCACCGTCGCAGGCGACAGTGTGTATATAATTTTTATATGTTACGTATATTGTATGTATATAATTCATTTTGTATTAAATAGTTTAGAAGCTGTTATCAATCAACAACATTAGTTGTATATGTTGAGTATATGTAATGTATATGCGACATTTTTTTGTGTCGTGGGATTTTTTTGGAGCATGTTCATTAACAGAATTTGCTTTTTGTATATCTTTTGTATATATTATGTATATAATGACAATATTGATTTATCTTCTATATATATTTTCTTTTGTGTCAACTATATACAATGAGTATATATGATGTATATGTTCTCGAAAAAATATACTGTTTTTTTAGTAGATGTTAAGGTCAACAGTATATTTTTACTATATGTACATGAGTACGATTTCAACTTGTTTTATATACTATAAATATACGTGATTTTTATATGATTGTCATCAGCAATTTGTTGTTTTTTTGTTGTTTTGGTATAATAGAAAATTATTGCAACATATACTAAATATATACGTTTAATGTACATTTAATATACACTATTAACATGATGCGATGCTAAAAAATAAACAAAAAGCAGTTCGATAAGTAAAAAATACGTGTGTTCGGCGAAATATGTTTTAACTATTGTGTGATCTGTGTATATCAAGAAGAAAATCGTTTGTAATTAAAATTCATAATCTTTCCTATTTGTATTGAACAAACTCCTAATTAATAGGAGAGAGAGAGAGGGAGAACGTGAGAGAGAGAGAGAGAGAGAGGCAAAGAGAGAGAGAGAGAGAGGCGTACCTCTACAAATTAAGGGGGAGTTAGCATTTCAGTTTGGTAACTGAAATCCTTGCATTTTTTTTAATAATTACCATGTAGTTGGTACAAATGCAATAAAATATATGTCCATAATATAATTACATTTACTTTCAATCTGTTAAGTAAAGATAAAATTTCCCAAATATTAACAGGGTCAATAAGAAGCCTACACAAATGATCAAAGGTCACCAAAATGACTACGTGCCCTTTAGAGTTTACATTTGCTGAGACAGACGACTATGATCCTTAACAGTCCCCAATATCCGGAAGTAGTCATAAAATAAAGAAGACTCCTTGCCTTCCAACCCGTCTCGACTCACCCTATTACTTCCTGCAAGGTTGTTGCAGGGGCTGCCACCTACGACCAAATCGAACCCGCCAATGTTGTCCATTATCTGCTTGATCACTGGAGTGTCAAACTGCTGGACATCGTCATAGTCAACTAGGGTCCCTGTCTGGTTCGTTTGCTCCCACCAGCTTCTCACAATGTCTCTGTTGACTTTCGATTTCTCAACAGAGACGACATTCTTCAGCTTGATCCCAAGGCGGTGGAGAGCAACCTCTGCACCGCCTATGCCCGTAAAGAGGGAGAGCATGTTGATCCCTTTCGGGTACATCTCCTTGAGGACAGATAGGTGGTAAGCCACAGTATCGACCTAAAAATAATAACAATTAATGGCAGTGTGAAATAGAATCGAAATATAGAGATTTTTTCGCTAATGACATTTATATTAGTTACTATGTGGATAAACTAACTAAACCGTGAGAGGGTATTCTTTGAAAATGAAATCAGCTCGAACCAATTGAACTAACTGGCCTGATAGTAGTAAGAATAATTAAATCAGAACAAAAAGGAGCTAAAGGAAAAGACCTCATCCTCCAAGCAACTGACTCCAACATTTCGCATACATAGCGGACAAAAGAAAGATGGCTACGAAATAAAGAGATCAACAGAAACAAAAATACAGAATATTAAACTTGTGTGCGTATCCTACTAAAACATAAACAGTGGCAGTGTATTATAGAATCTAGATTTATAGGTTTTATTTTTTTTCTTAATGCCGTTGGTTGATGTATTACATAGATGAACTAGCTTAATAATGGGAGGGTATATTTTGAATACGAAATCAAGTTTAACCATTTTAACTAACCGGCCAGACTGCAAAAAGAAACGACCTTATCCTCGAGCTAACTGACTCCATCATTATGCATACATAGCCCACACTGAATAAAGATAGCTAGAGAAAACATTAACAAAAACAAAAACACGAGATTTTCATTTCACTTGGATTCAAAAAGGAAAAGACCTTTTTCTAACTGACTTCATCATTAAGCATACATAGCCAACACAGAATAAAGATAGCTAGAGAAAACATCAACAACAAAAACAAAAAACACGAGATTTTCATTTCACTTATCCAATTAAAAAAAATGGAATTTTCACCTGAAACGAGTTCCCCAAAGACTTGTATCTATCAGTCCTGCTTATCCCTCCCCCTCTCGTGTGGTTCTTAGGGAATCCAAGAAGCATCTCCATCTCATCAGGCTCGAGCGGGGCAACCTTGTTCCTACCGACCCAGACCAGGTTCCACTTGCGGCACTGCTCCAAGACATTCCTCTGCACCGACTCGGGCGGGTCCCCCTCACAGCTCTCAACCCATCCCCTTATGCGCTCCGTCAGCTTAGCACTCCCAATGGCCGTCTGTATGCAGTTGAGCTTG